GATGGATGGATGGATGGATGGATGGATGGATGGATGGATGGATGGATGGATGGATGGATGGATGGATGGATGGATGGATGGATGGATGGATGGATGGATGGATGGATGGATGGATGGATGGATGGATGGATGGATGGATGGATGGATGGATAAACAGGAAGATAGAACGACAGACAGACAGACAGACAGACAGACAGATAGATAGATAGATAGATAGATAGATAGATAGATAGATAGATAGATAGATAGATAGATAGATAGATAGATAGATAGATAGACAGACAGACAGATAGACAGACAGAAGGATGGATGGAAAGAAATGCTATTCAATAAATCCCACTTCCTGTCATTTTGATTCAAACTCCAATCCAACTTCCTGTGGATTGTGACCAATTCAATTCAAACTCACTCTGATGAACTGATGAACTGATGAACTGAAACCGAGGCAATTCTTCAAATGTGAATTTTGCACAACTCTCCTACTAAACACAGTGACATTTCTAAAATTCAACTCGAGTATTTCTTGGCATGCATGACCCAACGCTGATCTCTTTCCCTGCCGTGGCGTCAGTTTTCCAGCATGCCGATCCCTCCCACGGACTGACATGGAAAGTATTCCCACCGCTCCGAGAATGCCAAGAGGAATCCAGACAGAGACACAGAGATCTGGTAATCCAGGAGTGAAGAGCATCTCAGGGCCAGTATTCTGTTCACGATCCTCCTCCTGAGGCGTTCACATATCAGGCCGCATCAGCAGTTTCTCCCGGGCGCTTGGCAAGCGTAGACATCACAGCAGCTGTTGCTTCACTCACAGGCTGCAGAATACCACAGTTACCGCGGTAAAGCAGATCTCGACTACAGTTTCTCCCTCGGATGAACCTGGTCTGACCTCTAAACTATAATCATGTAGGATGTAACTGTCGGAATATTACAGAGCCCTTAAAGAGACACGATGAAGGAAAAACTATGAATATTTTTCAATGCTTTTGTGTTTGCTTAGCAACATTTTTGACATATAATATTTCCTCATAATTTATATATTTTTATCCATAAAAAAAACATATCCTGCAAACAAGATGCATTTACTTAAGAAGCAAATTATGCAAGATAAGACGATTTGTTTTAAGAGGATGTATATTTTGAATATATAGTATAATAAACTATCAAATAAAGTTGTTTAAAACATGAAAAAATCCACTCCCAAATCCACATTTGAATGTGAATATCACTACAAAATAACACAAAATATAATTTTATAACAGATAATGTACTCGTTTGTCAGCGGTTGAAGTGCATTATTAGACTAACAAAATGTCCAAGTTGCATGTCTATAAATAAATAAGATGTCTGTAAAGTGGTCATCTGGATCCCCAAACATCTGACTGAAATAACAGCTCAGGGAGACATCGATCAGCTCAAAATGGCTCAGAGTATTTTTACAAATCCAATAAACGCAGGGGAGAAATGCACACAGCGTGCCAAACGTCTGCATGTGTCGAGCTATCTATGAATAACCTTCAGCAGAGACGATCTCATGAAACCTGTTGACATTATGAACTGCACATATACAGCATTTATTCATAATAATTTCAACATTTACTAAATCTTGTTAACATTAGTTAATGCACTGTGAACTAACATGAACAGCTGTATTTTTATTAATTAACGTTAACAAAGATTAACGAATATGGATTGCACATGCATAGTTAATGTTAGTTAATTAACTAATGAACCTTTTTCTAAAGTGTTACCGAAATTTTTATTAAAATTAAAACCTAAAGCTATTAAGTCTACTTCAAGCATTCTGACCAAACTAAAGTTTTTCTTGACAAACATTCTCTTTTTTTGGGCCAAGTGGGTAAATGGGGGATAAAATGCGGCCACAATTTCCCAGCATGCCCTGACATCAGCGCTGGAGAGCGTCTGATAGAGTGGTGTCGGCTCTTGTAATGCGTGTCATGCACACTGGGACAGGGAGCAGAGTTTTCCATGAAAGCAGCTGCACACACTGGGATTCTCTCACTCCTCTTCTCCTCTTCCACTGCATAGCTGGCATTGAGCCGAGGCTTACCAGAGCAAAACTCATCCAGACCCGATGACACCAGCCATCTCTCAACACACACCCTCCTGACCCGACACGCCTGATCCCCGAGTGCTCGGCCTAGATCGTGTTACTCAGAGAGAGAGAGAGGAGGGAGGATTCCATCACATTTACTCATCATTCCAAACCTGAGCGCAGTTGCTCGGTCCAACACGAAAATTCTAAATTTCAAAATTCAAAAGGAAACATTTGAATTTAAAATTCTAATTTCAAAATTCAAACTCCAAACATGAAAAAGGTTACAAAGCTCTTCTCTATATCAGTGTCAGTGTTTCTAAACTCCCTGAAACGCCTCCATTGTAGTCTCGAGTTTCTTCCGGGAACGCACACGTCACAATATTCCTCATTTAAATAATTAATGCGCATAATAAAGGGGCGGGGCCTGGTTGAGTTAGTTAGTAGTGTGTTGAAACCATAGACTGTAAAACAATATGGTCACACAGCTTTTTTGAAGCTCAAAGTGGGTCGCCATCTTGGCCGCGCATCACTCCCGGATAAAATGGGCAGCGAGGCGGATTATCTGAGGTGATGTAAAGCTAACAGACAGCAGACAAACGGCTAGTAGTGACAATCCACCTGTCACTCAAGCTTTGGCCACGCCCTTAATTATGCAGAACTTTAAGGCTCAATATAATTTAAACTGAGGCGTTATAAAAACAATCACCCCCCTCACAGTTTTCATGAAGGGCAAAATTAGCTATATAGACCAAAAACACTTTTTGCACCAGGCTGTAAACATATGTTTTTCTGCTGTAAAGTTGGACATTTTAACATGTGTGTCTATGGGATTGACTCTGTTTTGCAGCCGGTCTCTAGTGGCCAGTCGATGAACTGCAGTTTAAGTCACTTCAGTGTTGGATTCACGAGAGAGAGTGGAAGGTTGCCGCTCTGTAGTGTGTTGAAACTTGCGGTTATGGACATTTCCCAAACACACTCGAAGCGCTCGACCAATCACAACACACTGATCCACCCGACCAATCAGAGCACAGTGTGCTTTCAGAAGGCGGGGCTTCATAGAGACAGGAAGTAAACAGAGCGTTACTGACAGACTGGGAAGAGAGGAGCCGCAACAATGGGGAATATGAGGAAAATAATCAACATTCAAGCAGGAAAACCTGTTCTAGTGTTCAGTAATATTATTGATTTTTCTACACCGACTAACGGATGCAAACACAGTGACTGCTTTACAGCTGAATCGAATTTGTTTCATAATTAATGCATTTTGTCACTGTTATTAAACTGAACTGAATCAACGCTGAACTGACTTGAGCTGAACAATGACACTTTCACGTATTTTTAGAGCTGAATTTGAATCTCTCTCATATTTGATGAAGTTTGCATCAGGCTATTTTCCGGTTTATCACTGTGAGGCTGCTTTGAAACGATCTGTATTGTATAAAGCACTAGAAAAAAACCCCAGATTCAAACTGATTAATAACAGCAAACAGGTTTAGAATGAATTTTGGGTAAAACATGCTTCTTTATGAGTGATGTTGTAGGCTTTCTCATTTCATAGTTACGAAACTCTGAAGAAGTGACTCAACCAATTATGCACTTTTGTCCCAGTGAAACCACTGACGAGTCGCATTTCTGCTCTCTGAACCCGTGACACCTGCGAGGCTAAAGCTATTTCGGGTTCTCCTCACGCCTCGTGGTTGTGTAATGCTCCTGAGGCTTCTTTTGAGAGCACACCTGTTAGTGGCATGTGATGACAGAGCTCGACGAGGGCCTATTTCTGCTCTGAAACCTGAGACAGGGAGGGGAAACATCCAGCCGAACCCCGGAGACCCTGGAGGGAGGAACCGCAGATGTAACGTCTTTGATATCTTGCTCAGTTGATCCTAGTGGGTTACATAATACAATCCTGGCAAGAAGAGTCTTTTTTTTGTTCTACATTTCATTCTTTTTTTGCCTTTTGATCCTTTTGTAAAGCATAACTGCAACTGATTGTGTGATTTGAGCAACACACTTGTTAAGGACAGTTGTGCCGTTATAACAACTAAAAATAAAACCCGTTAAATTATATCTATTAAATATCTGTAATAAATTATATCTATTAAAATTATTCATATGGATATATTTAATTTTAATAAAATAAAAAGCACACATTTGTAACAAATAAAATATTATATATATATATATATATATATATATATATTATATTCAAAATAAAAAATAATTTTAATAATTTTAATTTTACCATTCTTAATACAATATATACATATATATATATATTATATATATATATTGCATTACAAATAAAAAAAAAATAATTTTAATAATTTTAATTTTCATATATATATATATATATATGAAAATTAAAATTATTAAACATTTTTTTTTTTTTTTTTTGTAATGCAATATATATATATATATATATATATATATATATATATATATATATATTGCATTACAAAAAAAAATAATTATTTAAATTTTACCATTTTGGAAAAGAATGTGCAGACTATATATTTTTAAAAGTAAATTATTTTATATTTTTTATTGGATTTATTTATTGTGTATATATATATATATATATATATATATATATATATATATATATGTATATATATATTATTTTATTAAAATTAAATATATCCATATGACAAAAATAACTTTAATATACATATATATAAATATATGTTATACATTTAGTCAGTTGATCCTATACATAATACAATTCTGGTAAGAAGAGTCTTTTTTGTTCTACATTTCATTCTTTGTTTGCCTTTTGATCCTTTTTTAAAGCATAACTAACATAGTTTGAGCAACACACTTGTTAAGGAGAGTTGAGCTGTTTTTAAGCATTTAAACTGACACTGTGTGTCGGACTGAAATAGTTGGCCGGAGGGTTGAATAAAAGTCAGTGTTATATATAATCTCTCCTGTATATTCGTACCTTGTCTTAGGTTGCAGTGTGTCCCGGAGCTGATGGACAGGAATAGCTCGTGTCAAATCCCAGGCTCCTTCACTGCAGTGTTATCCCACATCAACAACCGCTCGACTGCAAACGGCCCGCGGATATTTTAAGCCACTTTCTAAGTGTTATCTTGTCAGATCTGTCCTAAATTGAGAAGACAGAATTTGTGACATCAATCTTCTAACATCAGTTTTGGTCTAACAGAAGAGCGAGTGTGAGATCTCAAGCACTCATACGCAGAATTAAAGAGGCTATTGGCATCATCAGATGTTTTCATTTCTGTTTTTCATTGACAGAAACAATATATTCATATAATAACATACTCACATTCCCAAGATCTGCACTCACGTGTTCAAGCAGAACTGGAAATCATGTTCAGTCTATAAAAATAAAAACAAATAAAGACATAAATAAATAAATAATAAAAATGTTTTTTTTAAAAATCTAAAGTCTGTGCATTCTTTTCCAAAATAGTTAAAGTAAAATAGGCTAAAATATAAGATAAAATTAAATTAGCCAATTAAAATATTTTTTATTTTTAATAAAAAAAAACAATAAAAAACATCTGTAACAAAAAATACATACATACATATATATATATATATATATATATATATATATATAAATAATGCAAATATAAATATTTATATATTCTTATATAAACATTAATAAACAAATACAAATCATATTTAAAATAATAATATTGTAAATGCATTTACTTTATACTTTTTATATTTTTAATTTGTAACAAATATAAATATACACACACTTAGTATAAACAGATGCAAATATAAATATTTATATCTTAATATATATAAACATTAATAAAAGATACAAATTATATTAAACAAATTATATATAGAGAATGTATTTACTTTATACTTAATATGGCTACTTTAAATATATATATTTGTATTAATATATATATACACAAATAGATAAATATATACAAATTAAATTTAAATTATTATTACATTTAAATGATTATTATTTCATATTTATTCCTACCAAAAATAAGAAAAATACAACAAAACAAATAAATCATGGCTGATAAAAAAAAAAAAATTCACTTGGAAATTGTGTCCATTCACCCTCCACTGGACTGGTGTTGCAAAAAGTTAACTTGGACCATTTTCTCCCTCTCCCAGTTTTTGTGAAAATCCTCATCTGGACTCTTTTATCCAAAGTGTGTGTGTAACTTCAGCTCTGATCAAGCACTGATGCTGATAACAGCTGTTCTGGACAGGACGGGTCGGGTCGGGTCTGTTTCTTCAGAGCTCAGGCTGAGATTTGGCAGCACTTTGAGATTTAAAATGGAAACAGTGGAAGCGCTTTTGATGTCCACAAAAAGAAGTGTGGCGTGTATGGATGGGCTGGAAGACTGAGCTCTAATTTCTATTTTTAAAGGCCTGGTTTTCTAATGTGGTTATAGATGGACTGACACAGCATTAGAATCCAATCCTTATCACAGAAATAGAAAACAGTTACAATAAATGTTTGTAAAACAGAGCAGCCGAGTAAAGGCATTTTGGGTTGACAAGAATAAACAGATTTTCACTGTTTTGGACTACATAAAAGAACTAAAGAACTACAATCCCATGAAGCATTGCAAACAGCATAATCGAATTAAAAACAATAAAAATGTTATGTATATAAAAACAGTGTATTTTAAGACTGGCTTGATAACATCACTTGTGGAGCTTCATTGGTGCCGTCATGTTTGTCTCTCTGATTGGTGAATTCTCTGTGAAGCATCATGGGTAATGTAGTTTTCACCAGGAATTCCGTTGTTATTTAAAATTATTTGAAAACTTGTTGAAATAATGTGGGCTGACGTCTTCAAAAAAAAAAAATGCCAAAAAAAAAAAAGAAAGTAAATTAGTAAATAAAAACAACTGTAAAGTTGTAAATAAAGATAAAAAATAAAGATTACTATAAGTAATTTTTTTTTTCAAGGAAATATTATTTAAAAATGTCTGTTTAATTCAGTGTGTTACTTCCCATTTCTTTGGAATTATTTGTGAAATGTATAACTCCTGAGTGAAATTTTTCTTTCCAATATAAAGGTGAAACTCGAAAAATTTGAATATCGTGCAAAAGTTCATTTATTTCAGTAATTCAACTTAAAAGGTGAAACTAATATATTATATAGACTCATTACATGCAAAGTGAGACATTTCAAGCCTTTATTTGTTATAATTTTGATGATTCTGGCTTAAAGCTTATGAAAACCCCAAATTAAAAGGTAGCCTATAGCTGTAAGTCATAATAATCAAAATTATTAATATATTAGTTTCACCTTTTAAGTTCAATTACTGAAATAAATTAACTTTTGCATGATATTCTAATTTTTCGGGTTTCGCCATTTTTTACAGTCTATGGGTTTCACCTGTACTTTGTTATTGAATCTTATAAAATGGTTAGTTCCAATCCTTGATTCTGATTGGTCAATAGCTGTGCTTTATTCGTGATAATAAAACCCGGCTATGACCGCTTCACCCAACGGCTCTATTTATCACTGCGCAACAATGCAATTGTTTTTATTTGAGCTTTCATGCATATATTACACATTGGAACGTTGTTGCTGTTCACGGTCAGGGACTATTTTTTTTCTAGCGGAAGGAAGGCTTTTAGTGATTTTACTTCATGAAAGTTGCACTAATACATTTTTTTTTTTACTTTAATATTTTTATTGTGTGGTAACCGTTTTATAAAAGCAATAAGGTACTCGAGGCAAGTGCTGTATCGTGAATAAGTAACGGCTGAAAGGGTTACTCCGCTTCGCATCGAGCCTAACAACGCCCTTCAGCCGTTACTTATTCACGATGCAGCAAAGCCACCTTATTGCTTACATAGCCTATAAAAACTTTATAAATGACAGCAAAACTGTTAAAAAAGTTGTAAATTAGTAAAAACAAAACAAAAAAAACATTGTGTTTAATTCCATCTTTACTAGCAGTCTCTGAGTGCAGTGTTCCAGCATGAGTGTATGTTTAGGACGAAAGAAGGAAAACCCCGTCTCCTTTCATCTGCACTCTTCTTTAATGTTCTGCAGAATGACTGATTTGGGCTTCAGCTATTTTCCCTCATGTGGCAGAGCGGCTAAACACCCGGGAAGGACCAACCCAGCTCAATATCCCTGTCCAAGCCTGCCATCAAAGCGGGACTTCGTACATATGCCCGGATCTCAGCCCACACAACCTAATTGCCGGTTAAACTCCGGGAGGAAAAGACTCGTCGCCGTGCAGAAGTGGGCCGGACTCTAAAGGGATGAAAAGAGACGGATTCCAAGGTGTCCTCGATTCGGGATTGACCTTGTTTTCCCCTTGCAGTCCTAAATTAACCAATGCATCATCTATACTGGGATTTGCTGGATGTGGACCAGATTTTATTTTTGGCGCAGTTGTTGGATTCATCATACTGTCACATATATGTCCGCTGACTGATGCTCGACGTGTGCAATAGTTTTGCTCTCTTTTATATAAAAATAACTTTATAGTGGCCTAGATTGGACAGAATAGGTGGCCCAGAATTAGCTAAATGGATGGCAACAGTGTAAGTAGGTGAACGAGCGAGCGCAGACAGTAAGACATGCACGTGCACGTATGCGCTGGCCTAAAAGTGCATGTGTGTGAACGCCATGGGCATGCGATTGAAAACACAATGCAAGTGCGTGTCAGCATTAACATGGCCCTTGCCAGATGAATTTCGCTCCGCCTAGCTTCACTCGTCCATCTGGAACCGATCCATTGAAATGGCGTTTCAGAAGGCTGGGCCTTATCAAAAATCCTTGCATATGATTGGATAAGCCACTTGTCTGTCATCTTTATCGACGTGCTATTTCAACCACTCACACCGAAGCCAACCCGTGACGCTGAAGAATCCGGTCGGGAGAAGGCACTGATCTATATAACATCGTTTCCACCAACAAAAGCCGTAAGAGCCGTTCTCTGATGTTCTTTTAATGAAACAATATTAGGTAGATTGGACAACACGGATGAAATAGCAGCATCAATGTTAACGCTTGTTTCCTCGATGCGAGCCGCCATTGTTGTCTGAATCAAAACAGTCTCACGGTCGCTTCTCCACTACGTCACATCTATGAAACTCCCGCCCTGCGTCCTGATTGGCTAAACCATAAAGTTGGTTGGAGAAATCACTCTCAATGGAAGAGGTTCCAGATGGATGTGAGTGAAGCTAGGCGGAGCGAAATTCATCTGGCTAGGGCCAGGTTATGTCAGCATTGCCAAAAGGACACTAACAAAAGCAAAACGCTATGCTTATCGGACTTTCTTATCGTAATCATACACACACTTGTTTGTAGGGCAAATCGGGTTTTTTTTTTTTTAAATGCGACTTGCTTTGCAAACTCGATTAACTGCACAGTTATTGAACTGAATTGAATCAATATCAAACTGAATTTGTCTCATATTTGATGAAGTTTGCATCATTGATTCAATTAGTTTCCTGTTATCGCTGCCTAAAATAAGGCAGATATGATAATTTGTCTTCTACCATCAGATTTGTTTTGAATAGAACTGCACTGAGCAATTTAATGAAGGCTGAAATGTGCAATGCTTTCTTTTGTGCGCTGAACACACACGATCCACGATAAATATGCAACGGAAACACACACTCGCGCCGCCCTGGATAAGAATTCACATCTGCGTTTGTCGACTTTTGCAGTAATTCTTGTAATTATTACCTGAGCGGCGTAAACAGGAATGAGATCAGATGCGTCTGATGTTCGGCTTCACAGACTTTGGGGGATTTTCCAGGATCTAAAGTTCAGCGAGTCAGACGCTTCCTGCTGTCTATCGTCTGAAAACAAAGATAACCTCGATTTAAAGGTTAATGACAAGCAAACTGTACATCAAAATAATAGTTTCATGCAAAAATGAAAATATGTCATACTCACTCATGTTGATTCAAACCATTTTTGTTCTTCTGAGGAACACTTAATGTTTTCAAAGGATATTTTAACAACGGTCTAATCCTCACAGAAAGCTTCATATCGACTACGGTTATGGTAGTTTTATGCATACTTTGAGTTTAAAAGTGACTTTATGGTTTCAATGTAGGGCTGTGCAACGATTAATCGTGATTAATCGCATCCAAAAAAGTTGTGTTTATATAATATGTGTGTGTACTGTGTATAATTATTTTGTATATATAAATACACACACATGCATGTATATATTTAAAGAAAAATGTTTATATATACAATATTTATATTTATATATAATATAAAGATATACAGTGAATACATGCAAATACATGCATGTGTGTGTGTGAAATCATAAATGTTTCCTGAAGGATCATGTGACACTGAAGACTGGAGTAATGATGCTGAAAATTCAGCTTTGATCACAGGAATAAATTACATTTTACAATATATTCACATTAAAAAAAGTTATTTTAAATTGTAATAATATTTCACAATATTACTGTTTTTACTGTATTTTTGATCATATAAATGCAGCCTTGATAAGTAGAAGAGACTTCTGTAAAAAATGTACAGACTTTTTGGACGGAATATAATTATTTAAATAATATAATAAAATAATCATTACAATATCACATATATAAATATATATATATAAAAGTACAGTACTGGATGCTGATTGGTCAATATAGAGTTCCAGTCATATATTACATGATATTATTTATTCTAGTGAAAGAATGGGACTTAATGAATTCGCTTGATGAAATAATATTGTAATAAAAACATTGTGCCTTTAATATTAAGCATTATTGTATAAAAGCACTACAGGTCGTGACAGCTTTGACTAAATTCACAATTAGCATGCCCTTTTCTAAATTAATAATTAAAGATATATTATATACATTATCCAGGCCAATCTCATTGGTTTGCAATTGCATTATAACACAATTTCGACATACAAAAATGCATCTGCATGCTAACATTACTCATCAGCGCAGACGTTACTTCAATTCAATAAAAAATGTCTTGATTTAATCTCACACAATTTAATTGCAACAACATCCCAAACCAGCATCAATACAGGGATTATGGAAAGCAGGAAGAGAAGGTGTTGCACAACACAACAGACAGATGCATGCTGGGAGTGTCTTACGGGCAGGAGGCCAAAGAGCAGGGCGTCACTTTTCTGCTGAGTTGCGAAATGTAAATTGGTTTGTAAAATACTGTACGTCTTGCAGGGTGACACAAAAAACATCGGCTGTTCAGGAAAACAACATTCCTGCATGAAGTGTGAAGATATTTGTGACGATGCAGGAGTTACGGAAACACAATTATAGTCAGTTGACTATTTTTAAGCTGTTATGACAAAAATACCCACATACTGTCATCATCTGTTATCTGTCAACAATCAGATCTACCTTAAATCTGTGTGTTAACCAGTTACATCAGGTCAGTCACGGTTAACCTTTCCACTGCTTTGAGTTGGTCTAAAATATCAATGATTTATTGCATCTGAGTGGCTTTCTGAGAAGATAACACCACCGTATCCGCGTTCAAAGGCCAAGTTTGGTTTAATAGTAGATGTGAGTGTGCTTTCCTCGTTACCGGACACTGATTTACCAGCGAACACAGACCCTTATCTCATCTGCCTAATGAATGACCATAGGACGCTCGAAGCGCTGCCAAACAGGTTTATTTCGCAGCTACACTGTAAAAAATGTTGTGATTTTAAGGTTAAAAAAAAACCCTGTAAAAATGCTACGGTGGAAAAATTTCCGTACTATATACGGTGAATAACTGTGATAGATCTAACTGTACATTTAATGTAATTTTACAGTAAAATACCGTTTTATAAATTTTTATAAATTTATAGTTTTTGGAAGTGAAAAAGAACAAGAAATTGTATAATTTACAGTGAAAAAAACATTCCCACAATTCCCTGCGTGACGCTTCACATTTGATGTATTTTTGTTGAAATAACCGTTTCGTTATAGTTTTTTTCTAATCGGGTTTTATGTTACATTTAATGTTGTTAAATGAATGTTTATTGCATTTTTTAAATTTCATGTGTGTTACCATGATGGTGTTTAGTGTGTGTGTGTGTGTGTGTGTGTGTGTGTGTGTGTGTGTGTGTGTGTGTGTGTGTGTGTGTGTGTGAATGACACTGTGCAGCTTCTATATATTAATATAAACTTTATTATGGATAAGCTGCTTGTGATGAGCTTTGATTCATCATGTGACTCTCATCATCGCTGTGATTGGTGGTTGTCTGTGTATTATAATGGTATAACACAGATATTAGTTCTTCAATAGATTGGTATATTCATATTATATCAGTTAATGAAATACATTTTTTACTGTAAATTTAAGTTAAGTCTGTAAAACCTAAAATGTTGCTACTGTATATTTTACGGTAAATGTCTGGCCACCACAGCTCCCGTTTTCTTACCGTAAATTTAAAGGATTTTTTTTTACAGCGAGGAAATCTGTGGCTTAGCATTTTGGCTCCTGGATAAAAATACCGCAATCCCAGAGCATGTGTTTGTGTGGCTTTCTTTATTCTGTCAAGAGGCAGTAAAGGCTCGGAGGATTGATGTTCAACCGTATTGAAAATGCCTCAGAGCACCAAGATACCTTGTGTTTACAAAGACTGTGAAACCAAGCAACAAGCTCCTGGGTTTCACGCAGGAATCATAAACACGTTCATAAAAGCTGCTGCAAAAACAACAGACTTCAACAGCAGATATTCATTCATGCAAAACAGGTTGTTTTTTTATAAAGAAAATGCATTATTATTATGTGCTTGTGCAAAACTCGGCCACCATTATGCTTTTTGCACCATGTTTTGTTGCTTTGGGCAGTTACTAGGGCATTCTGGGTAGTTTACCAACATTTAAAGCATCTGCGGTTTGTTCAAAGCTGTTGTAACAAACGCCTAAGCAAACGCCTGGCATGATTTGCTTGTTTTGTTTGTCTGCTTAATTTTTTTTTTAAATTAACTAGATGTGTGTTGCATGCAGTAAATTTTTTTTTTGAAAATGTAAAAAAAAATAAAAGATAAACTGACCAAATATCATCTTTTTGTAAAAGGAAGTAAGTAAAACTAAAAAAAAAAACAAGCAAAAACGAACCAAAGTATGAGTTGGGATTTTTTAACAGTGCACAAATACATTAAAATATCACTGTAGAAGAACAACCCCAAGATGCTAATTGGATTAAAAGTTGATTAGATTTATGCATGCACTTTAGCTCTGCTTACTTACACAAAGAACAGCAATAATAATGAAGCAACATCAGTGGACGGAAACTCAAAGCACAGGCTGATTTTGGGAGGCCGGAGGGCAAAGGTCACGTCAACACTCACGCAAGACGCTGATCAAAGACATAACCAGCTGTTTATCTTTCAAACTTGCAAGCCGTGGAAAATATTTCCGTTGGCCAGACCGCAGCTGAGAGCGCCACAAGTTATTTTGAGACTTTCCCAATGCTTCACACTCCCTATTTCTCATCTTCCTACAGTCAGGGTTGCGTGATCTTCCCTTTGACGTGTCAATTACAACATCCATCTGCGGTGGAGACTGTATGGCTTCATCTACGCATTCCTAATAATCCTGCACTAAATAATGAGCGATTTGTTATTCGAGTGTGCATTTCCAGTAACAGCCCCTGCTAAAACCACTAATGGTGTTGATGCATCTCTGAATGAACCTTGAGGTCTCGGTCGGGTCGAGAGATGTCGCTGCTGAAAGGAATATGCAGTATCCAGTCACACTCCTTATGTTTTTTTGCAACCCTTTTATGCTATGATCAACTGCATGATATTATAACCATGCTAATTCAACCAGAAAACACCCTACAGATAACATGCATGACACAAGAGTGAACTGAGCACATGACTCGGCTATTCCAGAGTTGAGCATGTGACCACGTGTTGTTTTACAAGTTACCGCATTCATCGCATTTCATTTTAGGCTCTGCGTGCGTTGGGAGAGATTTATGTTCATGCACTCCAACCCACTTCATTGCATTGTTGCACTGCTCTTGTTGTGTAACTGTTGTACAGCAAAATATGACGCATGCATTTAAAATCGCATTGGTAGATACTTCTAACAAGCTAATTCAAAGCATAAATATGCAAAACTTATCGATATCATACATTACGTTAAATTATAAGCAATCGCGCTCATTGCATTTCTTTCGAGGCTCTGCATGTATTAGGAGAGATTTATATTCATGCACTCCAACCCACTTCATTGCAATGCAATGCTCCTGTTATGTAACTGCTTGTGTTGATATTGCAATGCACACTAAAATATGCATTTAAAACTGCTATAAATGAATGCATTGGTTGATATTTTTGACATACTAATTCAAACAAAAGCCAAATTTACATACATGCCATGCTGAAATCCTATAGTCAAGATAACAAGCAAGAGTAGACTAGGGAGTGACTCGGGAATACCAGGGTTGAGCACGTGGTTTTACAAGCTACCGCATTCATCGCATTTCTTGCGGCTCTGTGCATGTGTGAGGAGAGATTTATATTCATGTACGTCAATCCCCTTCATTGCATTGTTGCGTAACTGTGTGCATTGATATTTTGCAGCAAAATGAATGCATGCTAATTGCTGTAAATAATTGCATTGGTTGATTTAAAAAGAAAACACCCTATATGCATAACATGTTAAAATGCCATGGTCAAGATACCAAACAACAGTAAACTAGAGACAGCGACTCGGGAATTCCAGTTGAGCATGTGACCGCACGCTGCCATATTCATCGCATCTCTTTCGAGGCTCTGCACGTGTTGGGAGAGATTGATACTCATGCCATTGTTGCACTGCTCTTGTTATGTAACTCTTTGCATTGATATTGCGCAGCAAAATATAATGCATGCATTGTAAAACAAGTTTATAAGATTTAAGTGGGAAAAGCCAATTGAGGAACTGAGGTGACGTACACATATTTTGGGGTTATT